CCTCTCAGGTGACACCATTGTCATTATAATGGTGAGTTATGGCACCTCTTTTTCTAGAAAAATGGCACTGCTTAAGACAGTGTAAATTTCCCAAAAGTGGGATTCTGTGGCAGTGGTGGGACATGGGGGGGGGATAGGGGCAAGGAGAGATTTAAACTTATCCCAAACCTCTTTTAGCTTGGTCATGTGGCCTAGCAAACAGGTGGAACGTAGCAGGCAGATAGAGTGGTGTAAATCAGATTCCACCTGAAAGTTGTGTGCAATGGCATAATTTAGGATGGCATAATTTATGCCAGGGGACACGGGTGGCCCTGTGTTCTAAACCACAGAGCCTAGGGCTTGCTGATCGGAAGGTTGGCGGTTCGAATCCCCGCGACGGGGTGAGCTCCCGTTGTTTGGTCCCTGCTCCTGCCAACCTAGCAGTTTGAAAGCAACTCAAAAAAATGCAAGTAGATAAATAGGTACCGCTCCGGTGGAAAGGTAAACGGCATTTCCGTGTGCTGCTCTGGTTCACCAGAAGCGGCTTAGCCATGCTGGCCACATGACCTGGAAGCTGTCTGAGGACAAATGTCGGCTCCCTCGGCCTATAGAGCGAGATGAGCGCGCAACCCCAGAGTCGTCCACGACTGGACCTTACGGTCGGGGTTACCTTTACCTTTAATTTATGCCAGTATAAATTATGCTGATTTTCTATAGTTAGGATTGCTCTGCTTCTCCCTGAAATGACAGGGTGACTTTACTCTTGCCTGTCTATGACTCAGTCCTGCCACCTGCTTCTTCTTTTTCGTAAAAATCTGATTTATCAACTTTAAGGCAAAAATCTGATATGTCACCTTTAACAAAGCCCTCCCAGGTTAAAGCAGTTTTAGGACAAAATTAATTTAATGTATTTATTTAACAAAATTTGTATACTACTTGACTGGAAGAAAACCTCTGTGCTGTTTACGAAATATGATACAATAGAATTAGACTATATTAAAATTCTCAGTAAAAAAAACAACAACCGTTAAATATTGGTGTTTTTAAAACATTCAAAAGATGACGAAAACCTGCAACAGCTGAAACCCTATGAAATAGCATTGTGTTGCCTTTCCTCACTACACATTATGTTTGGATATGCAGCACCCATGCATCTCTTGGTAACGTGAAGTTTCTTCCTAAAGCCAAGCAGCCCTCGTCTGCCAGGGGACATTGGATATTAGTTACTTCAACACCCACTCCAGTTACGATGAAACATTTGCTTCGCAGAACAGCTGTTGGTAAACTGTGTGGGACAGAACCACAAGAAAGCCAGTGGCAGCCGCTCTTTGTTATTTCTAGGCGGAAGATGGAAGGGAGGTTTGCTTCAAAAGCATCAGTGCTAATAAATCGCATTAAAGTGATCAGACATGTCTGATATTCATTCTGCTGCTCCTCGAGGCAACCTGCATGTCATAAAGTGAGAGCCTTTGGGCACAGTTTGTGTCTGTTTTTAATGCCTTCTGCCCTCCTCCAATCCTGCCAGCCGGATTGTACAAAGTATTTACAACTGCAGACTTCAATAGAGAGACATGAAGGCAGTGTTATAGTGGAGACATTAATAACCTCTAGGTTTTTTGTTCAACAAATGCAGTTAATGCATAAATTTTTAAAATAAAAAAGATGTATTCACACAGACTGAATAATTTTTCCTTTCAGTAACTACAGTGGTACCTTAGGTTACAGACGCTTCAGGTTACAGATGCTTCAGGTTGCAGACTCCGCTAACCCAGAAATAGTACCTCGGGTTAAGAACTTTGCTTTAGGATGAGAACAGAAATTGTGCGGTGGCAGCGAGAGGCCCCAACTGTGCTTCAGGTTACGAACAGTTAATTAATTAAGTACTTAACCTGAGGTATCAGTGGAATTAAGTACTTAATTCGTTCCGGAGGTCCGTTCTTAACCTGAAACTGTTCTTAACCTGAACTGTTCTTAACCACTTTAGCTAATGGGGCCTCCCACTGCCACTGCGCCGCTGGAGCACAATTTCTGTGCAAAGAAACAAATGCTGATTGCACATTTTATTTTAACTAGGTTATAGCACAAATTTTTGGCTGTTTATTCAGAAGTAATTCAAGAATGTATTCCAAGTAAGCTTGCATAGGATTTCTATTGTCTCGTTCTGTTCAATAAGTGGGATCATCTTAATAGATGGTCCTGGTTGCGGGCAGGCCCTCAACCTGGTCCCCCCCACCCTGGCATGGGTGGAGCCATCACCCTCACGCCAGGGTGGCACCATGATCACCCAGGGCTATTGCCCAATCAATTTGAATGGGTGATCATGGGGGAATGTATAAAAGCGGCAGCGCGACGTGTGCCAGGCACCTGCTTCACGCTACCGAACACTCGCCCACCCTCCCTTTAATTTAAGTGTCCTTTGGCCTCGCTTTGGACTTTGGTTGGTTGCCTGTCTTGGGTTGGGGACCGGGTAGGAATTTTTCCATTTGGCGAATTGGCATGGGCCACTTGGTTTTTGCCTACCCCTTAGCAATCATCAGAACTTTGTAAGGTTTGGTGTTTAGGCATTGGCTTATTGTTGAGTGGAGGAGGGGAGGTCAGCCATCGCCTGCCCCTCCATTTCAAGGGTATTCTGTTAAAGGAATCCGGGGCCTGGATCTTGTCCAAAGCCCGCTTGAGGGGCTAGGGCCATGCCAGGCCTCTGGGAACACCAGGGGAGATGCAGGCGGGTTCCTCCGAAGCAGTTTCCCTTTGGGTGGTTTACCCTTACAGACTTCCTGCAAAGGGGGCAGGAGTCAGATATAGTCTTTTGCTGATGCCTAAGCCAATACCACTCTCATTTCCTGTAATCAATAAAGTTGTGGCCAAAAAACTTGCCCAATAACCTTAAACAAAAATTTTGTGTCTGTGTGAATTTATTTATGCTAATGGGGGGTTGGTTTGAGGGTCTTGCCATGCAAGACTTAAATTCCAAGCCAGTGCAGCTGCCTTGCTACCCAATCTCTCCCCCCCCCCCCACATTTTCTCCCCCAACCTTATCCTGTGCACGTTACTGAAGTCTCGCATCGAATATAGTTGATCTGTAAAAAGGACTTTATAATCTGAACATGGAGATGATGTATGCACTTCTGTACCCCAAGAAAACCTTTAATAAAAACAACAACAATAATAATAATAATAAATCCTATGTGTGCATACATAAAATAAGCCCTAAACCAGTAGGACTCGACTACTCTTTTTGTTGTTCTGTTGATCCTAACCAGAGGCAGTCAGCAATGTCAATCATCATCACCACCATCATCTGTCTTAAGTTGGCAAACTTTACCTTTGATTCCAAACTCTGTTCGGGAGTGGGGCTACTTGCAGCTGAGCCAGGCCAAGAAAAAACAAGCCTTTAAAAGATAGTAATAGTAGTAGTAGTAGTAGTAATAATAATAATAATAATAATAATAATAATAATAATAATATAATTTATACCCTGCCCTTCTGGCTGGGATTCCCCAGCCATTCTGGGTGACTCTCAACGCAATATTAAAAACGTGATAAAACATCAAACATATTTCCTTGACATGTGATGTGAGGGCATTCCACAGGACGGGCGCCACTACCAAGAAGGCCCTCTGTCTGGTTCCCTGTAACCTCACTTCTCACAGTGAGGGAACCACCAGAAAACCTTTGGAGCTGGAGCTCATTGTCTGGGCTGAATGATGGGAGTGGAGATGCTCCTTCAGGTATACTGGGCCGAGACCATTTAAGGCTTTAAAGGTCAGCAGCAACATTTTAATTGTGATTGGAAATGTACTGGGAGCCAATGTAGGTATCTCAGGACTGGTGTTATATGGTCTCGGTGGCCACTCCCAGTCACCAGTCTAGCTGCTGCATTCTGGATTAATTTTAGTTTCTGGGTCACCTTCAAAGGTAGCCCCACGTAGAGCGTATTGCAGTAGTCCAAGAGAGACTGACTAACACCACACTTTTTGCTAGCAAAGTTACACTGGGTTTTCAGGTGACTTGATTGAGGTGTAAGAGATTTGGAATGAATAGAAGTCTCTCTTTGTCCCATCCCAACACATCTATGCCCCTTTGTGGGACTTACTGGCTGACGATGTCACACTGGCATAGCCGCAGCTCAGCTAGAGCTGCCCAGGATTTGTCTCCTCCTTGCAGATTCTGTGTTAGGATTTCACAGTAAACTGTCTAAAATGATAGTGCACAGGAGTAGCCAATGAGGGGGTCTTCAGCTGTTGGTGGACCATTGACCATGTTGGGTGCAGCTAACTCAAGTTGGTAAAGGTTGGACAGGGACGCGGGTGGCGCTGTGGTCTAAACCACTGAGCCTCTTGAGCTTCGTGATCAGAACGTCGGTGGTTCAAATCCCCGCGACCAGGTGAGCTCCCGTTGCTCTGTCCCAGCTCCTGCCAACCTGGCAGTTTGAAAGCATGTCAGTGCAAGTAGATAAATAGGTACTGCTGCAGTGGGACGGTAAACAATATTTCTGTGCACTGTGGTTTCTGTCACGGTGTTCCGTTGTGCCAGAGGTGGTTTATGACCTGGAAAGCTGTCTGTGGACAAACACCAGCTCCCTCGGCCTGAAAGCAAGATGAGCACCACAACCCCATAGTCTCCTTTGACTGGACTTAACCGTCCAGGGGTCCTTTACCTTTACCTTAATTCAAGTTGGAGACAAACAACCTCTGGAGGGAATCATATTGTCTACTCCTGGCAAAGAAAATTACTGCAGAAATGTGTTGGGTGGGTGGGGGATTTAAGAATGGAAGAAAGAGAAACCGAGAGAACCAAAGATCACTACATCCCTACTAAAACTATACCCGAAATTTGAAATACAACATGCCATGGATATGAAGGAGCCAAAGTCCAAATAATATGCTGTTTGTGCCATCCAACCTGCTGAAATATACAACAGGTTACAGCAAGCCAGGACAATTTGTGGTCCAGCAAGCCTAACATAGCCTCTCAGGCATGTGTCGATATAGACTGCTAGCATTTTCTGTCCCTCCCGAACTGCAGGCCTAGACAGATTTATTCAGCTGCTGGTGGACCACCATGACGGATTGGCTGCTTTTGACTTGGTGTGGGTCACAGACTGTGCAAGGATGGGTTATAACTTGTTTAATTCTTTACTATCTTGCATTCGTTCTAAAGTTTTACGCTCCTTTATGTGCTCTTGAAAATTTTCAATCTTCCAAAGAGTGTTTCATCAAAGCAGACAGTTTCACTTCATGCTTTCTTATCTCTCTTGCTCATTTAGTGCCCAAGAGCACCAAGGTTTAATCTTGCCCCAAATGGGTTCATTTTCTTGCTGGCCATGCTTTTTTAAACCTAGGTGTAGCCACTGGACTTCTGGTTAATTACTTTTTAAATGCTGCCAGGTAAAGGGAACATCTGGCAAAAATGAGCGTTTGATGCTTTCAGATCTCTTTTCTCCTTGTTTGGAAGCTGTGTAGAGAACTTGCTGGAATTTTAATTGTTCAGTTTTCCATATTCTTGTGCCTGCAAGCATATTCATATCTGGAAACAAGTTAAAGGTGTGCTAGAAAATTGTCCCTGGTTTCGTGGGCCCACCTTTGTCCTGTGAAAATATTGGTAAAATTCTACTGGTTTTAACAAATTTCCAGTAATTTGTCTTTTGGCAGGCAGCAACGGGTGGGTCTGGAACTTATCTTACCTAAGAACTGCTCAAGGTGGCTGTGGGTTATTTCTTTGCTGCCTTCTGGCAAAGAAATAGAGCTCTTCCTAGTGTCCACCCACCAAAGCCTGGTAAGCACTAACTAGGTTTTGGTAAGGAGCCGCCCTCCCAATGGTTTTGGGATCGCCCATGACCAAGTGAGAAGCCGTGATGTCTTACGGCAGTGGTTTACAACTAGTTTGCCATGGCATCCTGGGGTGCCTTGAATGATGGTCAGGGCTGCCGGGGGCAACATTGGCCTCTATTCCTCTTCCCTTCCCTTCCCTTCCTTCCTCTGATGCCTTCTCATGTCTCTCCCTCCCAAAGGCTTGAACAGCTGTTTGTTGCAGCAACCCTGGCTACAAGCTCTTCAGGCGAAATGTGCCTCTGGGGCTGGCCAGGGGGTGCTGGTTACCAGGAACTCATCATCACCATCATCCTCAAACCTTTATTGGCATCACTTACAAACATTCAGAATAAACAGGCCAATGCGATCTCATTGCCATTTCAACAGTACAGTCATTTGCCAAAGGCGAGCAATCTATTTCACCTCTGTGGAACTCCAGCAAGGGCAGGGTCCTGTAGCGTACTTCAGTGGCAGAAAATTAAATAGAGGAACTTGGTTACTGTCTTGGTGAGCTCCTGGTCTCTCCCCTGTAATAAGAAGTGTATAACCTCTGTCTCTGGTTTCCATGTTGGGATACATAGGTGGTCTAAGAATTGTTGGTGGAGATCTTCATATATGGCGGAGATCTTCATATATTTTACCATTAAGGGCCATGTGAGCTAGAGTTTCCACCAGGTGGGCATCACATGGGCAGATCCTGTCTCCTTCTGCCATACCCGCAAACCTACCCCAAAGGAGGTTAGAAGGATTACAATTGAACCTAGCCAGTAAAAGCCCTTCTTTCATGTGGGTTAAACAAAAATTGTAAATAACTAAGGTTAAATTCCTGCGCCCAGAAGAGTTGAAAATAAAGAGGGGAACATGTTTCCTGGTGGTCTATATCCCACAGCCTAGTTTTTAACATGGCTTTGGCGATTGGAAAAGCCACAGCACCCAGGAGATCCTCTGAAAGCCCAAGTTGCCATAACTTTGTGCAAAACAGTTGTAGCCCTGGGGAAGGGAAGGGGTGTTGCCAGGAACCGAAGTGGCCTTGGAATAAGCAAGCAAGTGAGGGAGCCCAGCCAGCCAGCCCACCAACCCTTGCCAAGTGGGAGGTTGGGCAGGCAGGCAGACGCTATGTTGCCTTTCTTGTGCTTGCTGTGTGCAATGCCTACCAGGGAAATGAGTGTCTGGCACTGAAGGGGAGCCTTTTTGCCATGCTGGTACAGTGGCACCCACTGCTGCCTCCCAAGGTGCATAAGATGGTGGCCTCATGTTCACCTTTGGCCAGTCTCCACTAAGGCTGGGGGCATCCTCTTCCCAGACTCCTGAGGGGCAGAGTGAGGAGGCACCTCTCTTTGGGGTGGGGGCAGCTCAGAGACCAGGGGGCAGCAGCAGCGGCTGCCCGGAGGACTCCCAAGGAGAGGAGAAAGAAGGCTGAGGGAACACTCCACAAGGGAGGGTCTTCAAAAAGCTGTGAGGGGCTGCCAGCTCTGCAGGCAAGGGGTGACATAACTGGGCTCCTGAGCCTCACAGGAGTGCCACAGGAAGAAAGTAGTTGATCAAGGGTGCCGTGGACCCAAAACGGTTGAAAACCTCTGTCTTGGGGGTTTTCATGATCGTCCCAGCATTTTCAAGGGTGCTTATGCTGAGGACACTCTTGGTGAACGGCAACTTACAGCACAAAAAGTAACAGCCAATGATTAGGATACATAATTCTGCACCAATCTCATTGCGTTAAGCACACTGCACGTCAGGTATTTTTGGTGGAAATTTTATCTTCTGCCACAGACTAAGACCAGTGGTCTTGAGCAAATCCGTTGGAGATGCTCTAGAGCTCTGGGCTGTCTGAATCAAGCATGGAGTTGGGACACATCCACACCATACTTTAAAATCCCTCTTATGCCACTTTAACTGTCATGGCTTCCCTCAAAGATTCCTTGGAACTGTAGTTTGTTAAGGGTATCCTAGCAACTCTCAGTACCATTAACAAACTACAGTTCTCAACGTTCCCAGGTGGCTTCCAAGGCCCTCTCCAACTATGTAATTTAAGTCATTAGCTTTCAGCCTTTATAATGTGAAGAGTGCCTTATCTCAAAGAGCTATTGTTAGGGCAGACAGAAATTATTGTGACGGAACATGGTGTCCATTAAAAATAATCTGTTTTGCTTTTTGTGGAGCAAGGCATATAGAAATGAGAAGTATTACATATACGTGAATATATTATGTCAATTAGCTTCCTTTTTAAAAAAAAAACAACACAAAATCTGGCAATTTATCCTCTAACACTGAAAGCTGCTTTTGGATCTGAAATGGCTAGGGTACACCTTATTTTAATTTTTCAGAAACAAACGTGGTAACTTAATCGCCTAACCCAAATATAGTCTTTAAAATACGCTTTGCATTTCATTTTTTCTTACAAAGAAGAACTCAGCTATCTAGAATTCAATATTTGCTTCTACTTTCCTGCCAATGGGGAAAGGATATGTAAATCAGTTAGCCAGGATTAACCTCAAATTAGGATAAAGCTAATTAAAAATGTAGTGTTTCCTTTGGAGAAAAATCTGTTTTCTTAGCTTCCATATGAATTCTTTCTTATGTTTTCTGAGCTTCCATATGAATTCTTTCTGAGCTTCCATGTGAATTCTTTTTTAAAAAAATGCAATATGTTGTAAAATGCAATATGTTGTATTTGGTTTTTTAAAAAACAAAAAACCAAGAGAACCCTAAATTGAAAAATAGGCTATTTTTTTACCTGAATTTTGAAATAAATGTTACCTCAGTACTTTTGTGTGTATGGCAGATAAAAGAATGCCTGTATAAAATTAAATCAGCCTTGAAGGACACTATGAATGCAGTTAAATATTTCATTGTATGCACTGATTTTGTATTTGGCAGCAGTTACAAAGCCTATACCCTCCAACATTTCTCTGATAAAAATAGGGACATCCCATTCCATAATGATAGTTTTACTACTTATACCCCATGCATCTTAGTGGGTTGCCCCAGCTACTCTGGGCAGCTTCCAACATATATAAAAATATTTTTTAAAAAATAAACATTTTTTAAAAAACAGCAACAACAACCTTATTTATACAGGACTACCTTCAGATGGCTTGGGGGGTCCGATAACTCCATACCCTCCAACATTTCTCCAATGGAAATAGGGCATCCTAAGGAAAAATGGGACACTCCAGGATTAAATCAGAAACCGGGATGTCTTCTCTAAATCAGGGATGTCCCTGGAAAAAAGGGACACTTGGAGGTTCTGAAAGCCTTACCTGTATTTTTGCTATGTTTATTTACTTTTTAAAATATGCCCCTTAATCAAATGATGATCCCAGGATGCACATAGTTAAAGCAAAAAATCAAAATCTCAATTACATCTGTGAGGTGATAACCAACTAGACCATACTCAGAGTAGACTCATTAAAATCAATGTGATTTGAGAAAATAATGTGCATGCAGTGTCTATCTGCTTGCTGTTTGGCGATATGTATATCCAGCTCCTCCTTTGCAAAGTTATGCATTCACAGAGCCCTGAATACATGGGATGGAAGCTGTTTTTGGCTAAAAGCCCCCATTCCAGTGCCAATGAATGACATTTTTTTTAAAAAAATGAAACAGTAGATTACAATAAAATGATACCAGCCAATCAATCCAAGCAATATAAGACATAATACAGTGGTACCTCTGGTTACGAACTTAATTTGTTTCAGAGGTCCGTTCTTAACCTGAAATCATTCTTAGCCTGAGGTACCACTTTAGCTAATGGGGCCTCCCGCTGCCGTTGCACGATTTCTGTACTCATCCTGAAGCAAAGTTCTTAACCCGAGGTACTACTTCTGGGTTAACAGAGTCTGTAACCTCAAGTGTTTGTAAACTGAGGTGTTTGTAACCCGAGGTACCACTGTATAGGAGGACCTGAAGAAGACCATCCCAAGCAAGAATGATAATGTAAGTGAGCTGGAAGACATAATATCTAAATTGACTTTCAGTGAGAGCACTTCAGATGACCTGTTTATTCAGCATTCATTCTGAGTTGTTAGCTGGGAGATTATGTGACATTTACAATGCAGTAACATCTGGGGGTGTTTGATGGTCTTGCTTCATAGCACGTTTTATCCCATTCTTTCCAGCACATTAGAGTAATAGAATTGTAGAATTGGAAGGGACTCCAAGGGTCATTGAGTCCAATCCTGTGTGATGCAAGAATCTCAACTACATCACCCATGACAAAAGGCCACCCAACCTCTTCTTACAAACCTCCAAGGAAGGAGAGTCCACAACCTTCCGAGGGAGACAGTTCCACTGTCAAACAGCTCTTACTGTCAGAAAGTTCTTCCTGAGCTTTCCCCCTTGCTTTTGTTATCACACCAAAATCTAATCTTTGGAGGAAGCAGGTTTGCTGCACAAGACCTCCAAATCCACTTTAGTTGGATTTGCTTAGTATGTGACTGAATCCCACTTTAAAATAGATCTGCAAGTGCCCTGAGGCATTGACTTATTTCAAAAATAATAAAGAAATACAATACTCATATAAAATTCTCGGAAAACAGGCAACCCGATCCATAGGAGTACCCTCACTTCCGTTACAAGTCTGGATAAGGAATTAACTCTATAACATTATAGATCCCCAACATTCACACAAGAAAGAGAATCAGCAGAAATATACATGCATGTGGACATGAGATGATAACATTTGCTTAAATTTAATGATCTCTCTTTCTGTGTTTGAAACAAAAGGCCCAGAGGGCAAGCAGTGTTGTTTCAGTTCTTCTGCTGCGAGTAATTAAAACAATGAGCTGTAGCAAATATTCTTATTTCAGTTACTTCAGGGAAGTTGTGACACACTGGAATGCCTCAAGGGGGGTTGAGGGGAGTGGGAGCTGACTTGTACAAGATGCTCAGGGTTGTTAACAACTCTTCTTCATTTATCTTAAATTCAGTTGAAATATATCTCCTTTTCTCCTAAGACTGTGAGAATTCTCTCAATAAATGTTATGCCTACTGGCTTGCATCTTCAATCTCCTGCAAATGGGAAAGCAGGTTTAATAGAGTGAATGGACATGGGGACACTGCGACAGTGTGATGCTGAATGCTGAAGAAGAATGACACAACAGCCTGACAAAGGGGTTCTTTCTCAGCAAACACACACACACACACACACACAGAGAGAGAGAGAGAGAGAGAGAGAGAGAAACACCTAGGTTCTAACACACGTTAGCACAAAAAAACCCTCAAGGTTTGGCTATTCTGCTGAAGGGAGCAGAAAATGCAGATAGGAGGATCAGGCTAAATTCCAAGTAGCTCCCACTGGGTTCTATTGACTGAGAAACAGAAACAAGCTACACACTATTTGCTAAACACAACACAATTGGGAAGGTTGCAGAGAACAGAGGACTGGTGAGATGGTAGGAAGGAAGGAAGGAAGGAAGGAAGGAAGGAAGGAAGGAAGGAGGGAGGAAGGGAGGGAGAGGACACCCACATATAACCTTGACCACCTCAAAAGTCAGTGGCAGCATCCAACTAACTTGTTCCTTCAGTGAAAAGGTTGCCTTTGGTGTAATGGAAATTTTCCTCTCCTCTCCCACTGTGTGCCCTGCACACACCCCAAAACTGCTCTGCTGCATTGGGGAATCCCATAAAGCAGATTTAGGAGGTGCATGCAGGGAAGAGATGGGGAATGTCCCATTGTGCTGGTGGTAATCCTTGCACTTATGGAATGAGTTAGTGGGATGCTGCCCAAGTTAAGGGCATAAAAATCCCTGCACCTCACCTATGAGAATTTGACTGATTTTTTTCTCTTCCTTTGGATACTTTTTGAATGCAGTATTATGGTGGAAAAGAGGGCAAAACCAATTTTCCATCCTGGTCACTGGATAGTCCAATCCAACCAACTGAAATGTTTCAAGTGTTCACAGTTTCAAAGTGATGAGCGGTTTCCAGAACTTGTTAAGATGTTCCACTCTCCTGGCTCACTCTAAAGAAATGAGGATCTTACTCTAGATATCAGCAAGTGAGATCTCCTCAGCACTTCCTGCACACTATATAAGCAAAGGAATGAAGATATTGCCTCAGATATTATTAGAAAGAGCAAGCCTGTTATTTGAAGAGAGGCTTGAAAAGCAGGAGAGGGGGCACTGAGGTTACTCCAAGCTGTCTACTTGGGAATAGAGATCTATTCCATTTCAAGCTCAGAAATGAACTGGAGTGGATAGTAGCCTACATATCAAGGTGAATTTTCTCTTAATTTCCTGTGGCTGGAGCAAATGTCATCAGTCTTTAAATTGCTCCACAAGCTAAAGACAGCTCTGGTCAAACTGTTCACAACTGTAAATCAAGGTCAAGGGAGGTGCATTTTCTAGTTTCTAGGAGAAATTTTGCTGAAAGTCTCCGAGATTTCACACAATAATTTTTAGGAATGCACATTCCAAAAATTGGCCAGGTTGTCTGCATGCTGATCATCAACTAGCAAAAGTGCAACTAAGTCATGGTCCTATCTATATATTCATTGTCATTTTCAGGATATGATTATAAATGCAAATTGAGTTGAGTAATAGTGTTCAGAAACATTTAAGGACTGAGGACACCTGACAGTTTGAGATCTACTTATTGGTCATGTATAGCAGATAGACAGTTCCTGGCCTTCCTCCCTGTTCATTTGCTGTCTCAGAGAGGCAGAAAAACCAGTGTGTTATCAAATCCATGGTGAATTGTGCAGTCCATGTGTTTCTCAGTGATTCAAGCATACAAGAATTGGAAGCACTTCCAATGAAGTTTTTTATTTCTTCATTAGGCAATGAAGCAATCTGGTGGGCCTCAATGGAAGGAATTGTTGAGACTAAAATCATAACAATAAACAGAAGCACCACCCCGTTTGGAGATTTTTAAGTAGAGGTTGGATAGCCAGCAGCCATGTATGTTGAGATTCATGCATTTCAGACAGTTGGACTAGATGACCCTCAAAGTCCTTTCCAACTTTACAATTCTATGTTTCTGTGTTTCTACATTGCTATGTTGCTCTTACGGAGGTGGTGAGGAAAGCTGGAACACTCAGCCTATTCCCGAGGTAACCAGAAAGAATGACACTTCCTGCGATGTGGCAAAATTAGGAGGCCATTCTGGTTGCCTTGGGAACAGAAACACTTTCCCTCCCCATCTTACTTCAACATAATGTGTAAATATTTTGTCCCCTTCAAAGCCCTAGCATTCCAGTTCCCAGAAGGTTCTTGGGCAGAATGTT